GGGATGAGGGCTGGAGATCGCGGTGGCCAAATGCCACTGACAAAAATTCGTTCACAGCGACATAACAACCAGGGTGACTTTGATTCGAGTGTCAAGGGTGGGGGTTGCGAGGGTTAATTGTAGGACGATGGACTTGCTTCGGACTCAGCTTTTATATCGCAGTACGTGATTGTTTTTAAGTTGCATTTTAAATGGTACACTCTGTATATCTATCTGCATCATGGTCTATCAAAAGCATGGCTAGTAACTCCAGCGAGCTTTTAAGTTGCATTTTAAATGGTACACTCTGTATATCTATCTGCATCATGGTCTATCAAAAGCATGGCTAGTAACTCCAGCGAGCGTTCTTAATTATGTTAGATACGACATTTTTACGGCAGTGAGGATTATGTTCTTCTGGGTTATGGCGCTGCATAGACTCACCCGCACATGCCCATGTTTCGGAGAAACATGCTGTCTCTATTTTCAGCGTTGAAGCCCTAGCTATAAAACCCAGAACAAGAACACCACTGACATTAATCTTACGTGCTAAAAAAATCGGGAATAATAATAATAAAAATAATAATAAGAATGGAGAGTAGCGACAGCTGCTCGCCATATAGGATGATGAGAACAGGGATGTACCAACATCCCGTAACCACAGTTCTAATTGTTGCAGGCCATCAACCCTTTCATCCTTTCCACTTTGGACCACGCCCCTTTCACTTGGGCAACCCTCTCGACCCAGGACACAGAGTGCCAGATCCACTGGTCGGGACTCTTCCCTTCAAACTGACAGGTAAGCGCTGCGTCCCCTGAAGCCTCTACTCTGGCGCCTGGATTTCATTTCTACGACATGTTGGGAGATCAGACAAGGCCTACGTAATAGTCTCATATGTTGATATTTATGTAGAGGCTATTATAACGATTTATAAATAAGTGATTATGTAGTCCAGTGTTCTATTTCTGTGTACAGACACAGTGTCAACGGAGAAACGTACACTTATATTGTGATATCAAAATACCATAGTCTAAACACGCGTCCATGAAATTCTAAAATCCTGAAGCAGAGTATTAACAGGCGCTGAGTTATGGCTGTTTTACGTCACACAAAAGTATATAAAATTGCATATTTTCATGATTCACCATTCAAAATTTTGGGTGCCTCCCACTCAACCCAACGCAGGTTCGCTACACGTTTTGTTAAACCGTAAATGACTGAAAAGGAAGGAATTCAAAATGTTATCCATTCTACATTTGTAGGATAATACGTAATACAGTATTTAAAAAGCTTCCTGAAATTTTGCAATAATATTAATGCAATATCTGACAAGGAAAAGATTAAAGGTAGATATTTACTGAGAGTGAGAGCAAACAACATGGACGATAGGAAGAGACAGGTAGGCATGGAAGGGGGTAGACGTATGGGAAAACGTAAGCCCAAGCCAGAATCGAGAATCGAGAATCGAAAGAGGATTTCAGAATTAGAGGAATTTTTCTCTCTCTCTCTGTTGCTAGGAGTATCAAACAAAAAAGCTACCCTCAAAACGCGTTGTCGTGGCGACAGGCATTGCAAAGACCACCACCAGGTGGACTAATAGCTCTACTTTTCTATGTGCCTCTCACTTCCTCGATCTACCTAACCTCACTTAGCTCCAGGGAATCTGGAACTACACAGAGACAAAGCGGCTTAAACAGGGCATCGGGGAAGTCGGTTGAACGATAAAATGGACTTTGCTCTCAGTTCTGGATTCCGACTCGTTACTGTGAAGTTACATTCGCTTTGTATTTGCTTTATGGGATGATAGAAAAGTCACAGAAAGTGTATCCGCTAAGCACATGCACACCGAATGAAACTATCATATTCTGTTCTGAACCTATAGAAATCCTATAAAATATAAAAAAACGTATGTCGTGGGGCAGAATGACATTCATAACGGATTTCAACGAAGATAGGCCAATTAGTGACCTCAAAAGAGAAATTATAAAAATTATTGAGTTGTTCAGATCGGCAATTGTTATCAACATGTCTGCGTTCAAATGTGTTGCAGATAAGAATATATAAAAATAATATTGCCAGTAGTCTGAAAAAATAATATAGTCACAATTATGCAAATCGTTTCTTACGCTAATGCTTTTAAAATGATATGGTCCTCTGAACGAATCTTTAGATATAAATTTATTGCTCTCTTGTTTAGGTTATACTCTGATAAATAAAAGTAACAATTTATTGTATTCATAAGAAGACGGTACAAATTTATATTAAGAAAGAAGATATCCGTCTTCTGGGTTATTGCGCTGTGTAGTCTGGTCGATGTTAACCAACGTTTCAGAGGTCATACTGCCTCCGTCATCGCCCTGATGACGGAGGCAGTATCACCTCTGAAACGTTGGTTAACATCAACCAGACTACACAGCGCAACAACCCAGAAGACAGAAATCTTCATACTCACCGCTGTGAGAACCTCAAGTCTTACTTATATTAAGAAAGTTTGTAAGAAATATAATGAGATATATAATTGAAATTTCAATTAGTTTAAGTTGTTTTAGATACTAAGTTACGTGCAACTAACATAAATAACCATAGTTTGACAATAAAAATTGTTCTAGATACAGTATAATCTGGATTGCAGTTTTGTATGATTTGGTGGAGAGACACAAAGAATATTATAGTTTTGGAAGAAACGCAGTGACACGAATATAAACTGCACATTTTAATCATTACGTACCATTAAGATGAAGGGCAGACGAGTGCTTGGCCTGACTGATCAATAAAACTGGGGGTGGAGCGTGGATAACTGGCGGATCTGACTAAGTCAATTTCAAAAATTGGATTCTAGGTGTCGCATTAGCAATAGACAATTTATAAATATAGTTTCTTGCTTTTCTAGACATGGCGCCTCTCATGTATATATGTATTATTCTATATGGTGGATATTACAAAAAATATAAAATGGAAATTTCCCGGCCACCAAATGAGAGCCTCGTATTCTAAATTCCAGCATCCGACACATTGGTATAACCGAGTGTAGACGATGAAAGATGTGAGCTAGGAAGATTCACGCATGGCATAACCATTAAAAATATCGTGAAAGCTTTACAGCGACCATCAAGTCATTTAATGCACATAGAAAGTTAGGTTAGGTTAGGTTAGGTGGTGGGCATAAGCATAGCTAACAGCTTCATCATGATCGCACTTCGCGATTTGGGGCATCCCTTCCGAAGGTGTTACAGAACCGGGCAAGTTAGAACTTACTACACCAAACGCCATAAAAGTCTGTCCACCCATTCTCCAGTTATTGGATACGGAACACAGATATTTGTTGTGAAGACAGGTTGGACTAGATTCGTTATGCTCATGCGCAGATTATACTTAATGGCGACACCATAATTTAACCTCACAAAATTCAAGCAACTGTAAAGTTGGAATTGCCGAGTGTGAGTAGTTAAAATAACGAATTTAGAGTAGTCATACTTCCATACTGAAACTTCAGCCATTTTATAAATAGTTATGAGACACGCAATGTTGATATCAGTTATAAATAAGTTAGAAAAGGTTGGTTTAATTACGAGGTTTCGCATCAGATCTTACACAATGGCGTCACCATTTCAAGACACCGACAAGTTGGTATTACTGAATGCAGAAAGCAACGGATGATCCCGGAGAAGCCATACATAAGCCTAACGTGCATCCCAATTTAATGAGATTCCATCCACCCATTCTCTAGTTATTAGATATACACTAGCAACCTTTATGTCTGCTTTCCGGCATGTTCAAGGAATTTCGTCAACGTTCGATTCCCGGCGGTACCCGAATTTATAACATGTGTTGGGCAAGGCCGTGGTCTAGGCAACACGGAGTTTTCCTCCGTGGCATCCCAACAATTACTCCATTCACACACAGAAGAAGGCAATGGCAAACCACTTCTGGATCATCTGCCAAGAACGTATATGAACAGGTCCCAGTCCGAGAAAAGGATGGAAGGATCCTGTTCATATGGACCTGTCGTCAGACAGAACACTAAATAATAATAAGATGATAGCCCTATCACCGTGACGTGGAGAATCGAAGGTGTTTGAGATCGTTACGTCGACGTGCAGGCGGTGAAGTTCTTCCGCGACCTTGAAGAATGCAATTTGATGACGGCTGTCCTTGTTATAATGCTACTCGTCGCTGACAATGTTACGAACTGTGGTCATCGTTCAGTAGAGCTTACTATTGTGGGGGAGGTTGATAAAACCAACTGTTAAAAGCAATGATTTGTAACCACTTCAATTTGCAGACGTAACGATCAAGTATGGCAGCCGGGAGTTTTAAAATTATTATTATTGCATTTCATATCCACATATTTTAAAGGGGTATAAGATGGTTATTGAATACGACAAAGAGGCTCGCAGTGAGCGAGTTACTATGGGTTGTAACCTACTTAGTGAGCGGGAAGTTGCCGTTTGATGATAAAATACGAAGAATCTCTCCGTTACCTATTGAGGAAAACATCCATATTTGACTTAAATTGTGGCAAGTGTCGAATTAACAATTATATAGTCTACTGGGTCATAACGGCGAAGTAACTTTATGGAGATGAGTCCTTCTTGAGAAGCTCAGTTTGACAAGAAAATGCTCGCCTTTTATGGAACTAGAACATTTCTTACAGCGCTCACAAGAGGGTGCAACTGGTGCCTGTCCTGGGCCAGAGTAATCCGGTTTTATCTCAATGTTTAATATTAATTTTCATATTATATTCTCGTGTATTTCACTTGATTTATATTCTTCGCGTTTACGTAATTAAATTTATACACATTATACGCGCTCCATCAAATTGTCCTTGATTTTATAGATAAAATTATAAATTATAGGATTAGATTTTTAATGCAACTGATATCGTGGCTTGACTGAAAGGACTGAAGAAAATCACGAAAACTTTCAATACCCCTGCCGAAATTCAAACTTGGAACATCCACGTTAAAACTTAAGGAGTCTTAGCGCTACGCTATCCTGCTCGGAGCTAATATAATTTGGTATTGATTGTCTCATCAGACAGCTGTTCCGATGTAGGGCACAGCGGCTCTGCGGCGGGATCGCCTGCTGGAGGTACTCGGGTCGAAGCCGGCCGCGTGTTTTCTATGGTCCCCTCAGACGAACAGCTCGGTAGTGTCTTAAAACAGGCCACGGGAGGTGATTCCCACACTCCTCCTGATGCCAGTTCTAATACAGGAAAAACACAGCTGTTTTCCGTTGTTTTACTTAGTCTCTCCAGGCTAATACGAGTACAAAGAGACCGTGAACATATCCTGACAGTTCCTTCATAACAAACCACTAACACTCGCCGTGACATCTTTCATTTTGAGCGTTTCCTTGGAAGACTTGTTTCCATTTTTCTAATAAAAATGTTAAGTTTAAAAAGGACGCGAAGAGGAAAAGAAAGAGTGAGATGAAGAAACAATAGGTAATAAAATATAAAACAAACGAATAAGAAAAAAAATATAGACACAAATAGAATGGGAAAAAAGAACGAAAAGAGAAGAAGATAAGGACTTAAAGGAGAAAGGCGTAGAAGAATGAAGAAAGAAAGAAAGATAAAGACTGAAGAAAACGAAATAAGAAACGAGGAAACAGGACGAAATGGAAAGGACAGAACGAAAGATATGAAGGAAGAAGGAATGAGAGAAATGGAAAGAAATTACACAGACTTGCAAAAAAATAGCCTGGCCTTAACAAACGTTGAACGTAAAATTACAGAAGTAAAACAAACAGCTTTGTGCATGACGGGGCTGAGTCATTTGTATCCACGGAATGCG